GGTTCAAATTACAGGAGAGCAACTTGGTTCTCCTTAAAGTTTGTCAGGCTCCCCTGTTGTTCTTAACTTACACACCCAGAAGGAGCACAAAGAGATCCAGTTTCTACCTTTATTATATTATTTATATGGACTCAGCGTAGCGGGGATTCTTCTGAGCAGAGATGCAGAGAGCGACAGGCAGACCGCTGATTATTCATGAACTCCAGCTGCGTTCTGCACACGGCCACAGCAACATTTTCTAAGTGGCGTCACCAAAAATATATAATAATTAACACACAGTCATTCGTGTCCGTTCATTTTCTCTCTGGTAAGTTCTGTCTGTGTTTGGGCATGACGTGTGGACGCGCTCGCGCTGCAGCGCTCGGCACTGGCGCAACCGGGCAGCGCAGCCACACTCCGCTTCTTTTGCGGTCAATAGATCAATTTGATCTGCTAAAGTGACTTGTGAGGTGAAAAAGAAGGAAGCAGGCAGGAGTTTTTCTGGAGGACTGGGAGATGCAGGAAGATCAGAGACAGACAGGACAGGAAGGTCAGAGACAGACAGGACAGGAAGGTCAGAGACAGACAGGACAGGAAGATCAGAGACAGACAGGACAGGAAGATCAGAGACAGACAGGACAGAAAGATCAGAGACAGACAGGACAGAAAGATCAGAGACAGACAGGACAGGAAGGTCAGAGACAGACAGGACAGGAAGGTCAGAGACAGACAGGACAGGAAGGTCAGAGACAGACAGGACAGGAAGGTCAGAGACAGACAGGACAGGAAGATCAGAGACAGACAGGACAGGAAGATCAGAGACAGACAGGACAGGAAGATCAGAGACAGACAGGACAGGAAGATCAGAGACAGACAGGACAGAAAGATCAGAGACAGACAGGACAGGAAGGTCAGAGACAGACAGGACAGGAAGGTCAGAGACAGACAGGACAGGAAGGTCAGAGACAGACAGGACAGGAAGGTCAGAGACAGACAGGACAGGAAGATCAGAGACAGACAGGACAGGAAGATCAGAGACAGACAGGACAGGAAGATCAGAGACAGACAGGACAGGAAGGTCAGAGACAGACAGGACAGGAAGGTCAGAGACAGACAGGACAGGAAGATCAGAGACAGACAGGACAGGAAGATCAGAGACAGACAGGACAGGAAGATCAGAGACAGACAGGACAGGAAGATAGGAAAATAAAAACCAAGAAAACAAAACAAAGTTCTTAAAAAATAAAATGTAGGTTGATCCCATTACACGTGTGTACCTGTATAAAGCAATAACCTATCAGCATGTAGTATGTATATACAATTCAGTTCATCTTCAAAACTCCGTCCCATGCCCAGGGACGTATCTAAGCATTTTGGGGGCCGAGGCAAAATAGACCCCTGCCAGGTATTTTTATATTTGCAATAAAGTCCAAAAGTGAAGAATTTATGTTATTTATTACTTGATTGTTCAAGCTACCTCACAGAAGTGGTCTGTTGTTAAAAATTATAATGGGGGGGGGGGGGGGGGCTGGTGCCTATCTCCAGTGGTCAACGGGCAATCAGGTGGGGTTCACCCTGGACAGAGAGCCAGTCCATCGCAGGGCAACACAGAGACACACAGGACAAACTATCATGCACACACACACACACACACACACACACACACACACACACACACACACACACACACACACCTAAGGACAATTTAGACAGACCAATAAACCTAACAGTCATGTTTTTGGACTGTGGGAGGAAGCCGGAGTACCCGGAGAGAGCCCACGTGTGCACAGGGAGAACACGCTAATTCCATGCAGAAAGATCCCAGGCCGGGAAGCGAACCCAGAACCTTCTTGCTACAAGGCAACAGCTCTAACCATTGCGTCACTGCGCAGCCCAAAATAAAAAGGCAATTAAATAAAAAATAAGGAACATTCTGGAACTGTTTCTTCCTTTTCTTTCTTTATTTTTTTTTATGTATCGAAAGTATCGAATCGGGACTCGGTATCGGCAGATTCTCAAAATCAAATTGCTGGGACTCTGACTTGAGGGCAAAAAAACCTGATGGGGACATCCCAGCTGAAAACCTTGGCTGTGCCTAGAAATCCTGTCCATAAAAGTCATGAACAGAATCAGTGACAAAGGGCAGCCTTGGGTAAGTCCAACTCCCACCGGAGACGAGCCCGACTTACTGCCATCAATGCGGACCAAGCTCTGACACCGGTCATACAGGGACTTAACAGCCCGTGTCAGAGAGCCCGGTACCCCATACTCCTGGACAATAAATTCATCACATAATATTTGAATGAAAAGAACAAAGTGTTACATGTTTGTAAATCTCCAACACAGAAAGAGTCTTGGTCAATTTTTATCAACTTCCTTCTGAGTTCATCTTCAGCAGTAACAGGAGATTAACCCTCTCAGGCTCCAAATAAGTTCTGACAAAAGAACGAACAACTAAGTCCTTCAGGGGAACTTCTGAGTTAAACAATGCTCATGAGATACGTGTGTGGAGTAAGCAGGTAGGTAGGTTTTAACGTTGCTAATCTGCAACGCCGGCCTCCAGAGGGTTAATGAACTTTTTCCAGTAAAGCTTACAGTTTTTATTTAAATGTTATGAATGGTGCTCACAAGTCTGCATTTTCATCAAAACTGTTACTAAAAGACTAATGGTCTTCTTTGGATTGTACCAAACCATTTTCCATGACGAATCTGATAACATCCCTTTGGTCAGGCCTGGCATTGGTGAAAATCTCAGCATAAACATTTAAGAAGAGACATCCATGACCTTTGCTGTTGGGACAAAACTCTACCTTGAACCACAGCCACACAAAATCCCGCCAAAGGCCACAAATAGCCTACGGGCTGCACTTTGGACACTCCTAACCCAGCTGTTTCAACAGCTTCCCTGCTTCTACTCAGTGGTGGGGTGATTAGACATGATGTCACGGCAGCATATCTCGGGTAAATATATATTTTAATAGTCATGTTGTAATAAATGTGATTCAACATTAGTAAATAAAACATCTACGATTCTTCCACAAAATTTGTTTAAAAGTATTCATCAATCATTTCTGCTGTGAGTTAAGTGTTTTCTGGTTGAACTTCTTCAGTCGGTGATGTCACAGAACACGTATTTTGCATATGCAAAGAAAGTGGTGTCGCTTATCAAATGCTATGGATCATTACACAAGTATGCCTCCAGAGGTGCATTGTTCACTGGGCATCCCTTCAGAACAACGTTAATGTCCCATCAGGTCCAGTCGGACTGTCCTGGATGTCTCCTGCTTCTCCTTTTCTCACTCTCATGTCCTCTTGTATGCTGTCCAGCTGACTCTGACCTCTGACCCTTACACCCTCCCTCCTGACCCCTGACGACATTCCCACGCTTGTGCACTTCTCGCCATGCGAACCCAGTGGTCACTCCCTCTGAGTTTTCAGTGGTTCTAGTTAGACATGAATCATCTCTGGCCAAACTAGTTTGATTAAATCGGGCTTGGTTTGATCTTGACGAATGAGATGCAACAAAATGTTTATACAACTATATGAACTAGAAGTGTGTGAAAAAACACACCACCAGACAAAAACGTGTTTTTATTCTAAAGGATTCCATCGTCGTCTGAAAAGGTTAAATTCAGCACATTAAATATTTAATAAGTGTAATAAAAGTATTACTTTGTTGATATTTTTAAAAACAAATGGAACCGATTAAAAATTGTATCCCTCCAACAACCATGCACTTTCTCCCCTTCTCCCTTTACTCCCCTCTCTTTTCCTCCCCTCTCCTCCACAGTTAATTGGAGGAAAAGTGGATTTTCTCCATGGAAGGCCCGTCTCTTAGGTAACCCTGCTCCTGCATGACATGGGATGGGTAGAGGTAAACTGACAGGCTAGATGAAGAAGCAGCAGCGGAGGATGGCTGCTAGATGGAGAAGTGTATTTAGAACAAGTTGCAGTTTAAAATGTCTTATAATGTTTGGATCGACACACATCTGTTATCATTCATACAAAAAGTAAGTACTGAAACTATCTATTTAAAGAAGTATTATTATTATGCAAAGAATTGAAAGATTTTAAATCCCTTTAAAATGCATTTAAAGTGCATATTGATTAAAAAGCATTTCATTATTTTATCTTTACTCTTTCTTTGTGTCAGCTGGAGGCAAATGCTAAGAGAATATTTTTTAATAGCATGTTTTGCTGCTCTTGTTTAACTGTTCACTTCTAATAGTTTCTCACATTAACTTTTAAAGATTTTGTCCCTTCATCAAACATGCTGTTTGACGGGGATTCTGGTGTTGATTGTCCAAACACGATTCTTATACTACTCCTCCATATCCAGGAGTTGTGGCTGGACATCATGCTCCCAGCTCCCACTGGCTCCCTCTCCTGTCTCACTGCGGTGATACAGATTAACTCAGGGATTTACTCAATGTTACGTAGCATCTACTAATCTGCACCAGTCCACTCTAGATGTTTGTTGAACTTCAATCACAAAAACCAGAAATCCAAAAGACAGATTCATTATTTTCAAAGCTTTAAATTAGAAATTTAGAAAACTAATTTTTTGGTCACATTTTATTTCAATTTCAAAGAATAATTTTCTTTTGTTATTTTTCAAGCCGTTTAGCACTGAATATTGAATCATTCAAGTATGAAAGGCTACAGTTCAATTCAAAAATGTTGACAATGAACCAGTATATATGTCATGGTCACAATCAGATCACCATCACACATAAAACCAAAGCAGCCTTGCAAAAGTTGCAGCAGCTGTCTGGTTGTTGTTTGTGCACAGAATAGAAACAGACCTACAAGCAAAAACTGTTTGTAAAATGATTTGTTTTTTGACTTTTTAATAAAATGAATACAAACATCTTTATTACATTACATTTTTTAAGACTATTACAACGTTGGTTTATTATTTCCTCTTAGTTAAATTTGAAGAAGCATCTTTCCAACTCTAATCCAAACAGATAACATTTGATTTCTTGTAAATCACGTGATTTTGGGGAAATCTGGCCCATTTGCAGTAGCCAATGAGGAGAGGGTTACAGATTGTGAAACTGAAGCAAACATGCTCTATGCTGTGAGCCAAGAAGGAAAATAAAACAGCAGGAATCTAACACTTCTTTCCAAGAACTGTAAGTTTCAGCTTTTACAAGTTTTTTGTTCAAATCTATTTAAAATTCCAATTCAAACTAAACATTAAAATACAAAATTAAGGTTTCTGAGAGCCACAGCTACCTGCTTCACGTGCTTTACCAGTACGAGTGTCCTCTGGTTATTTAGTACCACCACAAATGTGCATGATAACATCTCTCTGGTATGTGATATGTTTTAAAAGAGATGCGTTTTAGATGTTTTCTGTAAAAATAACAAAGAGAGGGTGTTGCCCAATATACAATTGTGAAATGGAGGGGTGGGGGACTTATAAAACCCCCCTTATTCTGACAGCTGACTCATTGCAGGGGAGGCTGCAGAACCTGCAAAATGAGGTTCTATGTTGTTTCAGTACTTCTCCTGATGGCGACGGCGGATGGATCAGACAGGTAAATCAAGAAATTTTACAGTAAAGTGAATCCTATTTACCCGTGATGATTTATGCATGCATTATTCATTATGAAATGTCATTTAACAAAAGGCAGGAAAATCTAAATGTTACTGACGTGTGCACAGATTCCTCCTCTCAGCTCCAAGCGTGTTTCACTTGGGTGTGAAAGAGAAAGTCTTTGTCCAGTTGGGAAGTAAATATCTCAATCGACCTGTTTCTCTCTACCTGGTGCATGAGAGCACTGGCACGGTTATGTCTGACAAGAAAACTGTTCGCTGTACTACAGAAAGGGACATCAAAACTGTTGAACTGATGGTATGAAATCTTCGTCATGTCCCAAAAAGCATTCTCTAGGAGGAGATGGCATTTACCCAGACTGCTCATTTCTCTCTTCACAGATAAAAATGAACGAGTGGCTAAAAATCACTAGAGAAAATAGTCAACAGCGCCGTTATCTTAATATTGTCGCAGAGGTCTCAGATCCCCTGGAAAGGAAATATATGAGGGTTCTGGTTTCCAACCACAGAGGATATATCTTCATACAGACTGATCAGCCGATGTACAACCCATCACAAAAAGGTACAAATTCAGCCTTCTGAAAGGTTAATTTATCCAAAGATAATTTAGAGCTATTTTATGTTGTGTTTTTAAAGTGAAATACCGGGTGTTTACTCTTGACCACACAATGAGGCCAACTGAGGAAAGAGTCAACATATCAGTTTTTGTGAGTAAATGTGTGTTTTCCATTAACGAGGAGTTTTATATTTTGATTGCCACGATTCATGCCTGTTGTTTAATGACAGAATGCTGATGGAAGCAGAATAATGGAGTCTATGAAGTCTCCAAAGGATGGTATTTTCAGAAACCTAATCCCCATACCAAGTGTATCAAAGTATGTTAAAATAAAGAAATGTGTAATAATAACAATAAAGTCATAAGCAACTAAATCAATTTAGTTTCTTTCAAAAGAATGGGCACATGGAAGATAACAGCACACTATGAAGGTGACGAAGGAAATGTTGCTGTCCGAGAATTTAAAGTTCAAAGATTCGGTAAGTAAAATCTAAAAAATAACTTGCTTACAGACATTGACTAACTTGTTGGTACCCTTTGGGCAATGAAAGAAAAACCCACAACGGTCACAGAAATAACTTGAATCTGACAAAAGTAATCAATAAAAATTCTATGAAAATTAGCCAGTAAAAGTTAGACATTTCTTTTCAACAGAGTTATTTATAAGGATAACCTCATGAAAAAAGCCTGAACAAAAATGATGGTACCCCTAGAAAACACAGAAAATCATGTGAACAAAGAGATGCTAATTTAAGGGTTGCCCACTAAGCATCACAGGTGTCTACAATCTTTTAATCACTCAGTGAGCCTATATATAGAGCTCCAGGTAGTCACTGTGTTGTTTGGTGACATGGCGTGTACCACACTCAACATGGACCAAAGGAAGTAAAGGAAAGAGTTGTCTCAGGAGATTAGAAAGAAAATTAAAGCTGCAAGCAGCGTCGTTCGGCCCTCGCTGCTCAGCGCCGCTCCGGCCTGGCCGGCAGCCCGTGGCACCAGGGTACGTCCGCGGAACAGAAACATCGACCACCCCGACACCAGAAACCGCGAACGGTCTCCTCGTCTGCACCTCACCCTGACTCAGCATCTCCTCTGAGCCCAACGTTAAATTACACATCTCACCACTGGGGGATACCCTATCTTTACCACACTGGTGGTGTGATGTCACAGACCAAGTTTAATGCTATTCTGACCACGTTTTTTGAAGTTAATGAAAGTTAAAATTGTCTAGGGGCGGTGTGACCAACTACAGAAAAATCCCATTAAGGTCAGCTTTGGTTGACAAAGATGGTGTTCTGTTATTTTGGCATTAATCAGACGTCGTGTGTGTAATCTAGAGCCAGAGAGCCAAAAGGGGGTGGAGCTAAAGGGGTTTGAATCAACAACCACATCAATGTGTTTGGTGCAGTCATGTGATGACACAAGCCAAGTTTAATGGCATTCTGACCTTGTATTATTAAGTAATTAACTTTACATCTTATCTAGGGGGCACTGTGACCAATTACATAATAATCCCATTGAGGTCCTCTTAGGGACTCAAAGATGGTTTTGTGGTAGTTTGGCATCAATTAGACGTTGCGTGTGCTTTCTAGAGCCAGAGAGCCGAAAGGGGGTGGAACTAAAGGGGTTTGAACTAACAACCACATCAATGTGTTTGGTGCAGTCATGTGATGACACAAGCCACGTATAATGCCATTCTGACCTTGTCTTTAGAAGTTAATAAAGTTTTAACCTATCTAGGGGGCGCTGTGACCATTTACAACTAAATCCCATAGAGGTAATCTTTGCTCATCAAAGATGGTTTTCTGTTAATTTGGCATCAATCAAACGTTGCATGGGTCATTTAGGGCCAAAAGGCTGTGAGTGGGCGGAGTTAAAGTGATTTGAACGAGTGAGCACATACATGTGTTGATTGCAGTTGCGTGATGACTCCCACCACGTTTGATATAGTTTGGAGCTTTTTCGTAAAAGTTACCAAGGTTTTATTGTATATAGGGGGTGCTGTCCCAAATTTAGGGAAATCTCACAAGGAGCAGTTTGTAGGTTGACAACAATCATTTGCGTGCAGTTTGGTGTGAAGTGCATTGTGCATGTGTTTTCAGGGTCTAATGTCGGTCAGGGGGCGGCGCTAAAGCGATATCAACCATTTCCCACAGGATTGTGTTGGGTGCCTTTGTGTGATGTTACATAGCAAGTTTGGTACAGTTGCAACCTCGTCTGTAGGAGCTATTACAGCTTTAACGAAATGTAGGGGGCGCTGTGGTGATATTATACAATGTTCACCAACCGTTTGTGCCTCATTGGCTAAAGGGCATGATTGTTGATTGCCATGTTCAGTCTCGGGCAGATCGGAGGCTGTTTGTGGAAGTTACAGTCAAACGTAAGGTCACGGCGTCATGCCAGAATTCGCCATGGCATCAAAGTCCCTCCCTTTCTGGAAAGCTATCAGAACTGAATGGTCATTACAGCATCATGAAGACAGTGCATGACCTTAGTGTCATGTTGACTAAATTAGAGGGGACAGATGGGCATTTCACCATAAAAAATTGACTTCCTGTTGTCAGGGGGCATGGCTTAGGTGATGTCAGCTGTTCACATTGTCATTGTCTTGAGATGTGGTCAGTGATCACATAGACAAAGTTTGATATAGATCTGATCATGCACATGGAAGTTATCACATCAAGGAATGTAATGGCGAAAGGTCATAGTTTGAGGCTTAGCCACGCCCACACCTTTCAACTTATTTCAGAAAATAGGCCACGCCCACCGAATTTTGACATAAGATTTTTTGGGGACCAGACTAGGATAACTCACCAGAAGTTTCGTGGTGATATGTTTAGAAATGGCGAAATGGGAGGCAAACGTAAGGCCACGGGAGTACGCCTCACCTCGCCGCACCGCCACAGCCCCGCCCTCTTTTGAAAACTCCCATAAAGTGATGTCAAGCAACCCCCAATTGTCTTGAGTTACCAGCTACAAATTTGTGGTGATTAAGTGAAATGGGGCGATTTGAGACCTATCACAGTAAAACTTGACCTTTTTGGTCCTGAGGGGGCGTGTCATGTGTGATGTCATCATCCGACCATTCAGTTTAGTTTGTGGGTGGATGATGAATGACCACAGAAATTTTTGTAACACTACTCTATTCAGGTATGGAGTTATAGCCATTTATATTTTTTTGGCGAGTAGTCGAACTTCGAGGCCTCGCCCCGCCCCCTCAGCATACACAAAAAGTCGGTTTTAATTTTTCTATTTGATTACCCATCCCTTCTGAGCAATTTCCCACAAATTTTGAGACAATCGTGCGAAAAATAATCGAGTAAATCAATCAGAAGCGGAACCTAGAAACGACCAAAACGGGGTCAAAATCACCATTTCAACCCAAAATGGCTGACTTCCTGTTTGATATTGACCATGGTTGCAAGAGGCTTTTCTGTGTGGACTGTTGAGTACTACAAGTGTACAAAATTTCATAACTCTACGACGATTTAAGGTTTATCGAGGGGGGTATTTTTCACATTCTGGGGGCGTTGTGGAGCTAGTTTTATTGCAACTTTTTTGGGACCTTTAAAATACAAAATTTTACACCACGCCTGACATATGTGCAAAAAATCTTGAGTTTTTGTGTATGTTAAGGCCTCCAAAAAGCCTATTTACTTGGCGGAAGAAAAATAAACATTAGGCCTTCGCAGCGCTTACGTTGCTCGGGTCTAATTCAAGGTTCAAGGTTCAAGGTAACTTTATTTATACCCACAGGTAAATTTGATTTGCCATGTGACATGAGAATTAGCGCCCAGGTTACACACACAGTCACAAAACACACACATCAATGAAAAATATAAACAATAAGTGAATAAAAATAAAAATAAAAAATAGCCACGCCAGACTCAATTCTTATTGAGTAACGTTACTGCCTCGGGAATAAAGCTTGTTTTATACCTCCTGGTCCTGCACTTTGGCACAATAAATCTCCGTCCAGATGGCAGGAGAGTAAACTGGCCATGCAGTGGGTGGCAGTGTTGGGAAAGTTACTTTTAAAAAGTAATTAGTTATAGTTACTAATTACTTTGTCAAAAAAGTAACTCAGTTACTAACTGAGTTACAAGATTATAAAAGTAACTAGCAAGAAAAATAACTACTTAGTTACTTTTTTCTTTAAAGAATGCAAGAAAAATGGGTTAATTGAACTTACTTACCTTAAATCCTCTAATGCAGACCCGGGCCTGTATTTGACTCAAGCTCATCAAGCTCCAGGCCTTTATTGGAAGGAGGACCAGAATTAGAGGCAGGCCTCAATTTCTATTTGAGCAAAATGAACTAATGGTTCGCTGGAGTTTTTGACAATTAAAATTGCGCCCACATTTTCAAAGTTAAACACATTTCTTTTAACAACGGTAGTTTCTGCTTCAGCCCTCTCCCCCCTCCCCCTGCGCAGCGGCCGCAAACTCACTGATGTGCCTGCAGCCTCTCAGAGTTCCTGCTGCTCTAAACATTAAAATAATTATTTCATTTTCTGTTCCTCACTTCTGATTACCTTCAATGGTGTCTGTTTGTTGCAACCACCAGGTAAAAACTAAATTGTTTTTATTTGACTATTTTTCTGTCCTGCCTGTTTATTATCTTCCTGCATCTCCTCTCAATCCTAAAGAGAAACTGCTACCTGGGTTCATATATATTCACCTTATGAGTTACCTTTGAACTGCAGTTCTAAAAGATCTACCAACCGCAAAAACAGCGGAGTGCGTGCTGCTTGCCGGCCACATCAGTGGTGAGTCACCGAGAACGAAACAGTTGATGCGCCCCGCTCCACAGCAGCGAAAAGCATCAGGCACAAATAAAAGAATAAAAGACAGAAAACATAAAAGGAAATGAGCCGACATGAACGATCGCGTGTTAAATTAGTTCTTGAGGTGGCGACACCTGATTTGATAATGTTACTGTGGCCGTGCTCAGGACGCAGATGTCTGGAGCGCGTCAACAATCAGAGCTTTGCATGCACAAGCTGGTTAAGGTTAGGATGGGGTGAGGGGAAGGTTAAATTGTAAGAGGGTAAAGGTCACAATTTGGTTAAATGTCCGTTTTACGGCGGGTGTCAGTACCGACGCTCTGGCACAGCGCGTTGCCTCCCGACACACAGGAGCTTGTCACCTGCTGACAGCAGGCTGCTGTCTTTTCCGTGGACTGCATCTTGCCGGTCATTATCACGTGACAGCGACTAGTCAATGACAGGCATAACAAGTCACTATAGAGCAGCGAAGTCGACTAGTGACTAGTTCATACAGCCCCTGCTACTGCTCCCCAGAGTGTTCTGCAGCATAATCAGCATGTTCTCTTTGAACTTGATATCAAAATTTTGCCTCCTCTTCGTCTCCGCACGGTTAAAGTTACCCTCGCGGTCTATCACTGGCAAATCAAAAGTGAGACAGATGACACAACCGCCCCCCCGTGGTACTTGCTTGTTACCACATTCCACCCGGCC